TGTCAGATATTAATAGTGTAAGCGACCCATGTGTTTCTGATAACGGATAAATATTAATCTGACGGTTTGCGTGGTGGGGTTAGCTGTAGGAAGGGGTAAAAAAAAGGGGGAAAAAATTTCCTCGAACGCGTCAGATTTTCATAGGGGATGTTAATTGGACCCTAAAGAAGCTCCTATTAAAAAAAACTGACGATTTGGACGCGACCGAGAGTCATGGCCGATTTTTGAAAATGCAAAAAAAAATCGTGACCTTGAAATGCTCGAGCACGTCAGATTAAGATACAGAAGGTTCAGTTTGATGTCCTGGACGTGCTGACCCATAATCTGACGATTATGTGGAGGGATTTCATTAATCTGTCGGTTTGAAAAACTTTTTTTCCATTAATCTTGTTCCATTAATCTGTACACAGACTGTATGTTCGAAATCCAAAAACATGTTTTCGATGTATTTTTGCCTCCTGATTATGAATATGACAACAAAAATTGGCGCTCGGCCATATCGTCGCCGCTATTTTGAAAAAACATCCTAAAAACTTGATTTTTAAAAATTTTTCTGCATTTATTTTGAAAGATACAAATGTGCTGAAAAAATGGTTGAACAAAAAATGCAGAGCCACACGGAAAAAATGAAATGCTTGAATCTACTATTCAAATAATAAGATAATGTTCCAACGAACTTTTGTAGTTGATTTTATTATCCAAATAGTAGCTTCAACAAAGTAGATAGTGCAGCTTACTATGTTAATAGTAAAACCAACTAAAAAACGTTCGTTGGTGCATATCTTACTATTTAGATGGTAGATTCAACAATTTCATTTTTTCCGTGTAGGAAATTCTGGGAAGATGCATGTATATACAAATTATATACACTGTTCTCATATTTGTGGTTGAAACCATATACATTAAGAACAAGTTAAAATAACCGATACATAAGTAACGTAGAAGTCCCTTAGTCTTCATCGTCAGTGGTAAATTCATCATCTTCATATTCAAAGATTGATTCGATTTCGTCCTTGTCGTTTACATCTTGCGTATCTGGAACAAGAAATGTTTATGATACTTAACAATCTTTTATTTATTTCATTATATTATGACAATATTGTAAAGGAAACATGCCTGAATCTGGAGTCTCCCCTAAAACATCAGGTGTTATTACAACATCTTCGTAAGCTTGTGGTAGTTGATTACCAATGAACCAAGACATCTCCAATTTTCCATTGACATTTGTCCAACCGAAATCTGTTGGCGACATGTCATTCAGCATTCGAGTGTGTGCACTCCTCCACAAGGACGCAATATATCTCGTTCGTAGTACATGCTGGCGTAACTCCGATTGGCAAGGTGGTAAGTTGCATGCATCGTAATTACGCACGTTCAACGAGAAGGGCTGTGATGTGTCTGATACTGTATACGTCTTGTAGAAGATTGCAATCCTAGCTCGGTTGACATCATCTATTTTTTTTAAACCATACAAATGGCAGATAAAACGTTCGATGGTGTTAAAGGATTCATCAATGTTATAATCTTCCGATCCCAAGTCTGCAAATGCCTTTTGAAAAATTGGACAGTTCATTACAATATCTAAAGGTTTTTTCTTCCCTCGTCTATAAAAAGCTGGATTGTAATCACATCCCGTTAGCGCATGAAGTGCTGGTAGCGCTTGTGAAAGTAGTGGTCCTAGCTTCTGAGAAAGAGTGGAAACGTCAATATATCGGCGTGCATTACCTATTAAGATAAATCAAATGTAAGATAAACATGAAAATTGTAATTGAAAAAAGTGCATTACCTACTCCAAGATCCATCCAAATTTTCACAGATGCTTCAAGATGTTCCATATTGGCCAACATGATAACAACAATATCTGTATCAGAGGTTCTGATTGTAATAGTAGAGTCTTCTCTTATTTGACATACCAAAAATACTATTTTTGTATCCGCTTCTTCATGATCAGGACATGACAGTTCATGATCGATGTTTCGCGTTACTTTATTATCGGTAACAGAATATACGTAACACAAATCGTGACTCAGATATATTGTTTTGTTACCAATAATCGTAGCCATCTCCTGATCAGCCCAATGATCGATAAGAAACTTCACAAGAGCTTCTTTGAACTTGATATTTTTCAAATCTTTTGCAAAGACTGCTGTTCTCGTTTGTTGAGGACCGGAGATGTAGAAATCTTTGTCATCCACATTACCTCGAAGAGTATGCTCACAATCTTTGATCGAAGGTGTGAAGTAGCGATCAAATACAATGGCTACTCGACTTGCTGAATTATTGACAAGACATTGCAAAATCTTCTTTGACAGATCTCCAAAACTGCGCGGCATTTGTTTGAAAGTATGTAAAAAAAAGAAGCCATCTACAATCACAAAATCTAGCTGGTGTGGCGGTTGTTCCACTTCTTCGAGTTTTTTTTCCAACTCTTGAACCAGTACGGACTTAACAGTCTTATTAATGGAACCATCTATATGGCAGAGTGATAGCGGAACTGGAGTTATTGGAAAACAGAGTACTTTTTCAACATCTACTTTCGTGTCTAATGATAGAGCTAATAACCGACCGAATAAATCACGCTGTAATTTGACTTCATGTACTTTTTGTCCGATTTTCATTGTCTTCTTCTTCTTCTTCAAACTTGCAAAAGTCAGTACCTGATTTTTTTTCAATGATTTGTGAAATCTCTCTGAATTTATGTTACATTCCGTTATGAACTGATCTCGCAAGAATGTTCCGGATGACACTGCATTCAACAAGCTATTTGCTACTTCCGGAGTGGTAGCCTGTCCAGTTGAAATATTGTACAGTTGATTTTTATCTATTGAAGGAGAGAATGGGTTGATGGTCTGTTGGATACTATGCAAGAAAGCTTCAATTTGTTTATGATGTTTTTTCATTCGATCTGGATGTAGGTCAGCGGCGATGTCTTGATGACTGTTATTAAGTCCTGTACGAGTTAAAACATGTGAAATTATTCGAGTTCGAGCCCCATGATTTCGTGCCCAACGTTGTCTAGCAGAGATGGAGTTTGTTAGATTAACGATTCCAGTGAGTCGACGTGCTGCTTCACCGTTGATCGTCTGTTCCAACGTTAAATCTACCGGGATCCGCGAGAAAGGTTCAACGGTTCTTCTGATACCAAACGAGCCTTTAGCTATTTCGGCTCGAAGGCCCGGATGTGTGTTATCTACATGTTGTAGTTGATTGATATAGTACACTAGCCATCGACTGTAGTTTTGCTGATTGTAATAGAAAAATAAACACACGATTTTCCCAAGTGCATAAAAGTATAAATCTGAATCTCCGACTCTGATACTTTTAATAAATAACTGATACAGATTTATGAAATCGATGTACATAGCGTAAAATTGCGCCGTTTTTCCGTGCTTGCCTTCCAAAGTGTCCGCTGTATATTGCTCATAAGATTGAATTAGATGTTGCGTTTCTGTATGCTGTACTTGTGGAGAGATATCTTTATGCTGCATGAATGTGGTGAGACATTCTATTACTGATTCTTGGACTGTAAAATGTTTCTTTTCCAAAAATGACTCGAAATGCAATTGCTGCAGTGTTAATGCCATTAAGGAGTGTAATCGTTTACACCTACTATAATTTTTTCCAGCAATAAAACCTGCAACTGAACCATTAGCAATCAAGTTACATTCGGTCATAATATGGGTTAGTCCACATTCTTCTATGAAGGTGCCAACTGCTTTGAAAAAAGCCATCTCAATGTGGAAGGCCCCCATATGAATGAAAATGTTGTCGAATTTAGGAGATTCTTGAGCTTGAATGCAATAACTTGTCCGAGCAATAGCTAAATCGTAAGTGACTTGGATGAATGGAGCTTCACATTCTCTTGCGATGTCTTGACTCAATTCTAGAGTTTGCAAAACTGTAGAATGATTAGTGGGAGAGTCGTTTATTGGTGTAAGATGAGACACATTTTGGACGGATGAATTGTCAATGAAAATTTTGCTATGATATCCCACCCACATTGGAACATGTGGTATTCTATACACATGCGACAACATCCACATAATATATAATTGTTTCGACATAATCACATTTTCTGGAGCTTCATTGAGTGCGGAGATGTCCAGTTGATTCCAGGTTCCAATTTTTAATTTTTTTGCATATGGGCGCATGTCGAAAGTAATTTCATCGAAGGTTCGGCGTTTTCGCTTTCTCTGCACTGTGGTCGTACATTCAGAAATATTATCATGTGTACTCTCATTGGGAGTTGAATTTTCAATGTCACTGGCAGTTGGAGGTACGACAGGCATCGTATCTTCATTCCGAACGTCTTGATAAATTATCCCCATCGTGTCGTGAAGAGTGTCTTTACCATTCAGAGTTTCAACAAAGCGATCGAAATTATCAAAAGCTACTGCAGTATTCAAATCCGGGCGACGCAAAATATCCTCAGGACACACGTAGGAACTGTTTGCCGTTGAAAACGTCAATTCAGTCTCTAACTCTTCCAGAATAGTATAAGAGCAGCAGTGTCCATATTTGGATAGTAAATTGATTATTTTTTTGCTGTTACACAAGCTCTTTACTGCCAGACCCAAAGTAATATGCTTAGAAGTTTTGATTTTGTGGCTGGAAGTAGCGTATATCAGATCTTGTCCGAGAGAAAAAATTGCAAGATCGTTATTTTTTCTCTTATTTTCACGTGCTTTTCTTGATAAGTGATCAGAAACATCACCCCAAAGTAATGTTTCCAAGAAGCACGTTAAAAGTTCTGGCACATTATCGCACTCTCCTCTTATCAAGTCTTCAGCAGTGCAATCATCAGGCAATTTTGTGGTGGTAGAGTTCAAAATTTCTTCTCGGAGTTTTGCCGCCACTGAACGTATATTTTCTTTCAATGCCATGGTTTTAAACGAATCACTATAAGTAAGAATGTGGACGGAAAATGGAACAAGAAACTGTTTCTTCTCAGCAAAAATAATCTTGATCCTCTTGTGAAAAGTTTCCATTAACTTTCTTTGCAAATGCCGATCTGAAAATGAAGTGCTGCTGATGGATTCAGACAATAGCTTGCATTGTTCAATGAGTAATTTCTGATATTCTTTCTTGACATAATCAAAAAACAGGCATTCTTTGTTTTTGACCACGTATTCCTCTAACATCTCGCATAGCATGACATAAGCGATGTTTGATGCCCTCTTCTTTTTAACAAAGTCACTGACATCTCCTTTCGAAATGTCTCGCAAGTACTGATCTTTACAACATTTATGGTAAGGAATGTTAGAATCAGCAGAGAAGGAACTGATTTTTTCTAACATTTCTACGTCATTGTGTTTGGTAGCTGCACTTTTTAAGAGATCGATAATTCGAAATCTGTTGACTACCAATGGAACTTCACGACCGTGACGTTTCTTACGTGATCTTTCGCATATGAAGCACTTTACTTCTGATAAATCGTCATTACTGACAGGCTCATGTGCGCGAACCTCATCATCAGAATCATCGAAGTCACGGTCGCAGTTGTTGGATCCTCCCGCTCTGAAAATATTCCATCGATAAGAAACCTGACAAATAATAACACGGGAGTGAAATTATAGCGTTAAAAAATTCTTATTTCAAAAATTTTATACAGGTTTACAAAATGTCTTTCATGTAAGAAATATTTTATAATATTTTATAAAAATATATAATAAGCATATATTAAGCATAAGCATATATTATAAGCATATATAAGCATATAAGCATATATAAACATATATAAGCATATAAGCATATATAAGCATTATATAATTATAACCAGTGATATTAGCACTTACTCGTCCGTTAATGTATCAGCAACCTGAATTGTCGTGAAAGAAAAAGGAACATTCAATTCGGAATCTTCTCCAGAAACTTCAGGTACATTAGCACATTCCGCTGCACATTCCTGTTGCTTTTGAGATTCAGACGGTATTTTGATCGCTGTAAACCATTTATAGCACTGCGCGTGATAGCCGTCGTTTAATGACATATCATCTGAGAATTCGAGATCATCGTAGTTACTACGTGATTTCCTTCGAACCGGTTTACTTCGACGATACTGCAAAACCGTCTTGCATTTTTGTTTAGTTTCCGACGTAAATTTAATCACTTTCTCACATGATTTTTCTCTACAAAATACACAGTTCGCACTCATTGTCGTACAAAAAATTAGAGTCACAGCTGGTTTAATGAAATAAACTTTTTTTAAGATATCAATAGATAATCGAAAGCGTTATATGTATTCGAATATGTCCACGTGCTGTGACCAACTGGGCTGCGTTCAGAATTATCATCTGGGTGCACCCAGATGTTCTTTTATCCTTGTTTAACATTCTAGACGGGGAGGCCAAGCGGGGATTTTGGGATTTACTCGAGCGCGTCAGAATAAAGGGGGAAAGCTTGCACCCTAATAAGTACCCCCACCACATATTAAACCTCTGTATAGAGCCGGGGGTCCAGGGGAGCCCGT